GATAATCCCAGACGCCGGGCACTGGGCGCAGCCTGTCAGCCCCGTGTGCACCCCAACATTCCCGCTGTCTCCCAGCTCTGTCCCTCCTGCCACCTCCCCATCCTCCGCCCTGTGTTTGATTAGACACCCGGCCTCACATCAAGCCTCCTTACACCCAACTGCCCTCCCGTTTCCTTAGACCGCCCTGCTCTGCCCACCCACCCCCACTCCCCATCTCCCCTGTTCAGGCCCACACGTCTTCCATTCAGACGCCTCTTCTCTGGGAGACCCTGCCCTGCTCTTCCCAGCTAACTGCGGGCTCCCCTTGAGAGGTGGGGACCGGTGTTGATTTGCTCATTTGAACCAAGTCCGAAGGACTCCCCTTTCCCTCCCCGATGCCTGTCTCTCCCTCCCCAGCACATCCGAGCCGCGGCTGTGGCCCCCGGACTCCGCTACTTCGGCGTGTCTGTGGACGGTGGCCTGGACGTGACCAGCGATGGCCTGGCTGACATCACCGTGGGCAGCCTGGGCCGGGCGGCTGTGCTCCGGTAGGGGTCTGCCCTGCCTCCTGGGGTCCCGAGCCAAGCACCGATACAGAAGACCTGCAGCCACATCTCATGGTCCACTTCGCTGTCTTATTTAGCTCAAGGCCTGTGGTTCGCCTGGAGGTGTCCATGACCTTCACGCCCGAGGCGCTGCCCATCGGCTTCAACAGCAGTGTGCACGTGAGGCTGTGCTTTGACGTCAGCTCTGAGACCACAGCCACCACGTCAGGTAACAGGCAGCCTGGCCGGCCCACGCAGCCGTGGGGTCCTTCCTGGTTGGCTTCGGGGCAGGGGAAGAGGATCGGGTGGGGCTGGGCTCCGGGAGTGACAGGTTCTGGTGTTTGAAAGCCCTCTGTTGGGAGCCTCGCTCCTTGGACGTTAGGTTCTGTTCTGGGTGAAGTGCCCTCGAAAAGGGGGACCTGCTGGGGAGTCCGCACTCCCCAGGGGTGTCTCTGCCCCTGGCCCTGTTGGGAAGAAGGACATTGGGGTCCTTCCTCAGGTGTGAAGGGTTGAGTGTCTGAAAAAGGACTCAGGAAAGGGCGGCCGCTTCTCCATCTCCATCCACAGTGCCTGGGGGTGTGCAGGGGACCCTGAGAGGTGCCCTTCCTCGTTCTCTCTGATTACGTCTTCTCCCTGCCCTCCTCGCTGTCCCCCTGGCCCAGGCAGAGGCCTGGCCGCTCCTCCCACCCCCTCCTGGCACCATTTGGGAGACTGTTTCCAGGAGGCAGAGGGTGGGCCCGGCACTCACAGCCCAGGAACTTCCTGGCACCCCACGAGCCCCCCTCCAGAGCAGCCCATCAGCAACAGTCCCCAAGGTGTCGAGTCTCCGTAGCAATCCCTGAAATGTCTCTCTGGTTCCTGCAAATAAGGAAGCCCTCTCCCGGGTGGGTGGCTTTCCTGCAGGAGGAGGCCATTATCGAATGCGGAGAGGAAATGAAGGGCCTTAGGGGTCCCACTGTGCAGGTGGGACGATTCAGGCCATGGAGCCTGGACGGCTGCTGCTGAGCAGCTGTGTGACACTAGGCAGGTGTCTTTCCCTCTCTGGTCCTGGTTTCTGTTCTGTACAGTAAGGGAGTTGGCCCAGGGAGTCTGTAAGGTGCTTCCAGCTCTGCTGTCCTCAGGTGTTACTCTCCATTCCGTGTTGTTTCCCCTCCTCCTCCTTTTCTCCCTGAATCCCAGCCATGTGCTGCTCTGGGTTTGGGTTGGGACCCTGAGGGACGTTAGCCAGGGGCCAGAAGACATGAGAAAAGTACCTTCGAAGTGAAGAAACTCAGCGTCCAGCCCCAGGGAAGCGCCTGGCAGGGCCACACGCTGGAGAGCTCCCGGGAGCCTCCGGCGGGCTGGGGGTGCTGTGTCTGGGGCTTGCCCCTCCCAGCCTCATCGGGAGGGTCTGGTCTTCACTCCCAGGCCTCAGAGGGACGTCTCTGAACTTCACGTTGGACGTGGATGTGCTGAAGGAGAGGAAGAGGCTCCAGTGTGCGGACCAGAGGGCTTGTCAGAGCTGCCTTCGGGAGTGGAACAGTGGGTCCCCTCTCTGTGAGTCCCGTCTGCTCAGCCCCACCGACGGAGAGGTGAGTGAGGAAAATTCAGAGGGGTCTGTGCAATGATGGGTATGTACCAGTCCATACAAACTAGACAATTAACATAATAGCCCATTGGTGTGGCTCAGTGGTTGAGCATTGACCTATGAATCAGGAGGTCATGGTTAGATTCCCGGTCAGGGCACATGCCCAGGTTGCAGGCTTAATCCCCAGTAGGGGGTGTGCAGGAGGCAGCTGATCAAAGATTCTCTCTTATCATTTATGTTTCTATCCCTCTCTTCCTTTCCCGTCCTCTATGAAATCAATTTTAAAATATTTAAATAAATATTGTATATTAAAAAACTATAAAAGACCAGGAACCACATAATGGCATGGGTGAGGAAGTTAATTATATTAGAAATCCAAATTAATTTGAACACTAACTGTATCTCTGAGCTTCCTAGCATCTGAACAGAAAGTGAAATGTTCTAATTGCTGTTTATTCTTTTCTCTTGTCAGCTGACCTAAGAGTGGGGCTGGCGGTCCTTCTTCAAACCATTATCAGAAAAACTGAATGAGAGAAAGTAGGAATAGAAAGACAAAAGTTATCATTTATGAAGGTTTACACCTAACAAAGGTGTCTACAAATACACACAGAAAACGTATTTGTCAGGACTCAGGCCCTAGAACTTTAAACCTACAAAGGCCATTTATTCCAACAACCTCATACATTATGCTTCTAACTACACATCTGCCCCCACATCTGTTCCAGTTGTTAATAGGATTAAGAAAGAGTTTCCAGTGAGTCTGTGGCTTCTTTAAATAAAAGCATAACTACTCTTTCCACCTGGGATCATGCTCACCTACTCTCCTAGCTCAAAGCTTCTTCCATGGCTCACTCAGAGAGAAGGATGGCTTTTTGTTTTTTCCCCTCTAATATGTCCTTCATGCTGTTTTGTAAATACAGATGTGACCATGAGTCATCCCTCAGTGCCTCCCATTTGCTCTCTGAATAAAATCATCAGGTTTTTAAAGAATATGTTATTTTCTTAAAATATATTTTTATTGGTTTCAGAGAAGGGAGAGGGAGAGATAGAAACATCAATGATGAGAATCATTGATCTGTTGCCTCCTGCACACCTCCCACCAGAGATCAAGCCCTGAGCATGTGACCAGAAATTGAACCGCCACCTTCTGGTTCATAGGTCGATGCTCAACCACTGAGCCACACAGGCTGGGCAAAGTCGTCAGTTTTTAACTCACGATGGCCAGACCCCTTAGGATTGGGGTGGAAACCATAAGGAGCTATGAGATTTGAGAGCAGATCCAGGGATATTTCCAATGCTCCTGGCAGCTTGGTTACATGACAGCTTCCCTTCAGCCTGGCTTGTTTGGAAGAGGCTTAGGACCTCTGGCTCACCACTTGCATGTTTATGTCATGACTACGCCGAATTAAAGGTGTTCTCCTTGTCACCTTCTGCCCCACATCCAACTGCACCTCCGCCTCCCTGGTGGCTGCAGCTCTGCGAAGAGGACTGCTTCTCCAGCATCAGTGTCAAGGTCAGCTACCAACTCCAGCACTCCAAGGACCGGAGGAGCCATCCCCACCCTGTCCTGGACATCTACAGTGAGCCCTCCGCCATCTTCCAGGTGACTCCAGCCACGGCTAGGCCTGGACCCTCCAGGGAACCATCCCCCCCAAAGTACCTGCTCCCCTAACTTCAAAGAATGTTAGAATTGGGAGGGTCTTCAGACAGCATCTGGGCCCCTGACTGCACAAAGGGGCCTCACTGGTGGGTAATCACGCCTCCAAACTACCACCCAAGGCTAGTCCTTCATGTTCACGGAGTGCTTGCTACATGTTTAATGAAGCATTTGAACACACTGCCTGACTTGGCAAGGGTGTCTGATGACCGTGCAGTGGGGGTCCCATGTGGGGGCTGGACTGGAGCCACCCTGTCCTGCTGGCAGAGAGGATGCCCTTTGGCACAGCTGTCTGCCCAGGTCCTGCTCAGGGCCTTCGGGCTGAATGTCTGGCCCACCAAACTTGCCCCCTTCGGGCAGGTAGTGTCACCAGAAACTTTTCTCATTGCTAAGGGAAGTCAGAGGGGGAAAGCAAACAGTCATATTCCCTGACTCTATGATATCTAAGGTGATCTTGCTTGTATCCAGGCTCTGGAATATTCTGTCTACATTTAAAGTGTGGTATGGGGTATAGAAAAATCAGCAGGATCAAAGAAGTGACAATGTGAGCCTTAAAGAGTAAAAATTACAGTTAGTTGGGATGAGTTGAGTCTCCAAAATTTAAACTAAAAAGCCAATACTAGTTCATGCGGGCACAGAAAAGCTCAGTAACATATTTCCTGACTGTCCAATATTTTTTTTACCCAAATGCTCTGTTAATTAGACAAGCTTTTAGCTCCAGTTTTGGTCAATATCTAATGTATTAATCACAAATAGTAAATAAAGCCCTGTCTGGGTAGCTGAGTTGGTTAGAGAGTCATTATGATAGTCCAAGGTTGCAGGTTCGATCCCTGGTCAGGGCATATATAAAACCAACCAATGAATACATAAATAAGAGGAACAACAAATTGATGTCTCTCTCTCCCAAAACACTAAACAAATAGTAAATAGAAATGAGAGCAGCACAATTAGGGTGACTGTTTTCACTGCTCATCTGCCCAGGAAGAGGGAATGAGGGTCCTCCACTAGTATGAACAAAGACTGACATCTTAAATTTTTAGGCAAGAGACTTTATTTTAAATTTATAATAGTATATTTATTTTGTAAGAAATTAAAAATTTTAATATATTTTTATTTATTTCAGAGAGGAAGTGAGAGAGAGAGGGAGAGAGAGAAACATCAATGATGGGAGAGAATCATTCATCGGCCTTCTGCAGGTCCAGTATGTCCTGACCTGAAATCGAACCGTGACCTCCTGGTTCATAGGTTGATGCTCAAGCACTGAGCCACGCCAACCAGGCAAAAGAATTTTTTAAAAATTGGTATTGACAGCAAGTTAGTTGAAAAAAGATTAGGAGAATCTTTTTTAGGAGAATTAATGTAATAAAGTTTTGTCAATAAGCAGATGATCACTAATTATATATATTGTTTAAAAAACTTTATTTTGAAATAGTTGGTTTACTATAAAGTTATAAGCACACTCCAAAATAATCCCTATGCATTCTTTTTTTAAAATATATATATTTTTTATGGATTTCAGAGAGGGAGGGATAGGGAGATAGAAACCTCAATGATGAGAGAGAATCATTGATTAGCTGCCTCCTGCATGCCCCACACTGAAGATCAATCCTGCAACCTGGGCATGTGCCCTGACCAGGAATCAAACCATGACCTCCCGGTTCATAGGTTGATGCTCAACCACTGAGCCATGCTGGCTGGGCTCCCCATGCATTCTTTATCCAGATTTCCAAAACGTTAACATTTATCCATTTTATTATTCACATTGCTTTAGCATTCTTTCTCGATACATGTAGAGTACATATACATATATACAAATTACACACATATACACACATTTATATTTATGAACCATTTTAGAGTTATAGATTTGATGCCTTACTCTCAGTATTCAGTATATATTTCCTAAAAACAAGGACATTCTCTTACAAAACCTCAGTGCAATGATCAAAACCAGGAAATAATAATAAAATACTATTACCTAATTTATTTCAATTTCATCAGTTGTCCTATAAACATCCTTTATTGCAAAAGAAAAAACTTTTCCTGCCAGTCCAGCATCATTTATTGCATTTTGTCATCACTTGTCTTTGGTCTCCTTTAATTTGGAGCAGTTTCTCAGTCTTTCTGTGTTTAATGACTTCAACATTTTCAAAGGATACAGGCCAGTTATTTTGTAGAATGTTTCTCAACTTGAATTTGTCCAGTGTTTCCTCACGATTAGATTGTGTGTCTGGGGAAAAAATATCATAGAAGTGAAGTCGGTCCTTCGAGGTGTCACATCAGGGCACACTGCTTTGCCCATGACTGGTGCTATCTCCCGTTCATGAATACGTATCTTATAGGCGATGCTTGGAGATTATGAATGTATCCTGTTTAACATCCACTCATGATGTTTACCTGCATCAATTATTACTTTGATGGTTTGGCAAAGACATTTTTTATTCCATTGGTAAAATGGATGAGGAGGCGTGATTTGGTATTAGTTTGAGTACACAGATGTTTCCAGAAAATGAGTTCTAGCTAGGAGCTTATAGTTTAACCTTGCTCGCTCTCACTGGCTTTGGGTGAAAGAGAGCAGGCTACCTGTCTATATGAAAAACAAAACTAAAGAAAATCCAAAAAAACTTTGCCCCAAACTTTGCCCCAGTCGGAGTCAAGCTCTGACTTCTGCAAATCGCATCTCCAGTCTGCAGGAAGTGGGAGGCTTCCTTTCTAACTCCGGGCTCCATTCCCGCTTCAGGCCTCGGGCAGAGTCCTTGAGTAAGCTGCTGGTGCGGTCACTGGCTGCTGGGGAGATAAATGCAGAGATTTCCCAGTTAAGAAGCTGGCTGTGTTTCCTTCATAATAAAAATCAACCCACCCCTAGCTGGTTTGGCTCAATGGATAGAGCGTCGGCCTACGAGATGAAGGGGCCCAGATTAGATTCTGGTCAAGGGCATATGCCTAGTTGCAGGCTCCGTTCCCAGTGGGGGGCCTGCCTGTAGGAGGCAGCTGACCAATGATTTTCTCTCATTATTGAGGTTTCTATCTCTTTCCCTCTCCCTTCCTCTCTGAAATTAATAAAACAAGCAAACAAAAACACCCAGATTCTTTAGAAACTTTGATTTTTCAACCTGAATTAGGGCTTTTCAACTTTGACTGGGCCTGTGGCCCCACTGTGACTCTGAATTAGTTTGGTTTAGTGTAGGCACGATTACAAGGAGAATATTTAACCCCCAAAGACTACCCACGGAATCAGAGGGTGTGCAGGACTGGATCCTGACAATAATTGATTAGTATCTTCCATTTGTGCCTCTGCTGTTCCTACCTCTGCTTCAAAGGATTAAGAAAACTTCTTCATGTAGGTTTTCCTCCCCAAAATTTCAAAGTACTCACTGAGTTGTGAGTGTTGGTGCTTAATTCTGGTAATAGAAATGTGACAGGCCCTCCTACCATCCCAGGAAGGTCACCCCATTTTTTACCTTGGCCAGAAGCCTGACTCATGGTATACCTGTGTTGTAGGACCAAGCACACCTCCTACCTGACAGACTGTCACTTGCCATCTGTTACCCAACTGTCCCTCCTACTCCTGCCAGATGAAGAAATGTCAGTCACAGCCATGTGGACACCACCCAGCCTGCCCAGCATGCCCTAAGGAGATCACAGGCAAGCTGCTGGGGCTGCAGCGTCCCTGGGCTAATCCTGCCCTTGTCTCGTTACAGCTGCCCTACGAGAAGGCCTGCAAGAATAAGCTGTTCTGTGTTGCCGAGTTACAGCTGGCCACCACCACTCAGTGAGTCCAATCCAGTCATCAGTTTCTGTAGTAAACTTCCTCCTGACTTACCTGAACCAGCCTCTCATCAGGATCAGTTGCTCATTCCCTCTCCTTCCCCTCATGGCCCACAAAGTGCTTTGCACTTATTATCCACTAGAGGCCTGGTGAATGAAAATCCAGGCACTGGATGGGGGGGTCCCTCAGCCCAGCCTGCCCCTTCTCACAGTCTGAGAACCCTCAGGGGTCTGGAGGCGACCCAGCGATAAGAGGAAGGCGACACCTTTGATGGCAGCACATGCCTCAGCCAGCCCTGGTTACCTGAGCCTTGGGCGGCCCTGGGCAGCTAGGCAGCCAACATCCAAGGCTTGCCTGCGCCTCGGGCGGGCCCTGGGAGGCTGGGGGGCTGAGGGAACTGGGGGACTCTGGAGGCAGGTGCGCAGAGCGCCGCCATCTTGTGGCTGTGGGCACCGCCATCTTTGAGGGCATGGCAGTCATTAGCATATTCCCTCTTTATTAGATAGTCTTGCTTCCCCAGCCATCCCATAAAGGAGGCGACACAGATATCTGCTTTCCCATTTTATAGATTAGAGAGCAGACTCGGTAGTTGGGAGCCTGCATGGGGTCACAGGGGTCATCTGGTAGACTTGAATCCAGGTCTCTGACATCCTGGGCAATGCTATTTTCATAAGCCAGTGTCAAATTACTTAATTCAGTAAATGTTTATGGAGCATCTACTCTGTGCAAAGCACTCCAGGTGCTGCAGATACAGCAGCGAGCAGCACAAAGAGCCCTGCCTTCCTGCTGCTTTTAGGGGGAGAAGATAACAAATGAGTAAATATTATGCTGTCAAGTTTACTATGAAGATAATGCAGGGCAGGTGGGAGGGAGTACGGGTGGAGTGGGGTGGCAGTTTTAAACGAGTGGTCAGGAAAGGGCTGGCTGGGGAGGCATTTTGGTACACGCTGGAGGTAAAGGAAGGAACTATGTGGGTATTGGAAGGAAGATTAAGTGCAAATGCTCTGGATGGTGGGTGGAATGGCCCGGACAGGAGTGGTCGCAGTAGCATGAGGAGGGAGAGGCAATGTGTGGACAGGGAGGGCTGCACAGGCCTTCCATGGGGCTGTTACTGGGAGCTGGAAAGCCAGAGGAATGGATGATCTTTCATTTTTCACCGGGTCATTCTTGCTGCTGTGTTGAAAACAGATTGTAGGAGCAAAGGTGGAAGCAGGGAGCTAGCAGGGGGCTCTTACAATAACTCGGGTGAGAAGGAACGGTGCCTTGGGCAAGGGTGGTAGCAGAGAAGTAAAGCCATAGGATTTGATGACAGATTGAAGGTGGGGAGTGAGGGAAAGAGTGGGGTCTAAGAAATCTTTCAAGGCTTCAGCCTGAGCATCTATCGTAGAACTGTGCTGTCCAATTTTAATTTAAATTAAATTAAAACTTTAGCCCCTCAGTTGTACTGTGCGCATTTCAGGTGTGCAATACCCACATATGGCTATTGATACTGCACAGCACAGCGATAACCACTTCTGTGACCGCAAAGTTCTAGGACAGCAGTGATGCCAACAACTGAAGTGGGGAAGCCTTTGAAAAAATGACTTTGGAAGGCAGGAAGAGGTCACAAGTTCGGTTTGGAACGTATGGTGGTCTTAAATGCCCTCCCGGCTACCAGTGCTGCGTGTGTAACATGGTACCGAAGGCCAGTGCTTCTAGACGTTTGCAAGACTGGTGTTTCAGATGTGCATGGCTCAGCGCTGCCCATCTCAATCGATAAGGATCCAATTCAAGGCTTTTGAGTGCTTTGGAATCCAGCCTAACAAGCAAGCGCAACTGCTTCCAACAGGGAATTAATGAAACCAAGCACTGCCCTCTGGGCCAATCTGTGTGAACTAAGAAACATATAGCACACATAGCTGGCCCTACATCACCCCCTAGTGTACATACATAGCAAGCACTATCTTTTTCTCCCCAAGATTATTGTCAAGGCTAATCTTTAGCATCCAAACACTTCAGTGGTTTTTGACCTTGTGGACATAGATCTCCCAAACAATCTAAGGAAAACTACAGACTCTTCTCCCTAGAAGATCACGTGTGCACACATCCGTGTTTGCATTCGGGGCCTCTGAAACTATCTCTGTTAAAATAGTCTGACAACTCTCAGATCTCTTCCCTGGGTTCTGAAACAGTGCATCCAACTCACATTTCAACACCTCTACCTTGAACACCTCTCATCGTGTCCCAACTCTGTTGACTTCCTCGGCCCTTCCTCTTGTGGTCTCTCCCTCATCAGTCATCCAGGCTGTAACCTTGGAGGTCATCCTTGAGTCCTCTCTCCCCGTGCTCTGTTCACAACTACAGCCTTACCATGTCTGGTTTCTACTCCTTCCCTCCATCTCAACCACTACTGTCTTATTTCAGACATGTGCCATCCCTCAGATGGATCTCCACAGCAGGCTGGCTCTGACCCTCTCTCCCTCCAATCAATCTTTCCTCTTTTCAGCTGTGAGAAAAACAATACAACAAAGCACACGGTTTCTTCCCAGAGCTACATATCCCGTCTTTGACTATGTCAGATGGTGGAAAGTTTTCTTTGTACTGGTGACACATTTTCCTACAGATTTCAATTACTGGTAGTTATTCTGCACTTTGGGGCCCCAATGCACCTCAGCAGACTGAAGGAAGCTCCCACAGAGCCCCAAGCCTTCTCTTCACCTGGTTTAAACCAAAGCCTTTACATTAGAATGGGCTGAATGACTTTGTGGGAGGGAAAGCTAAGGCCAGGAAAGGGGCAGGGATGGAGTCTGTCTCACACACCACTGTTACTCTAGCGTTGAGTAGGGTATCTGGCACAGGGAAGCTACTCCATAAACACACGTGAAATGGATGGATTTGTGTAAGGGAGTGCCTTGTCTACAGTCACAGAGAATTGGTAACAGAAAGAGGATTTAGACCAATTCTCCCAATTCCTTTTTGAGGTTGCTAGACCTTAGGCAAATTAGTGAGCCTCTTTTGGTTTCTGTTTCCTTCTCTAGAAGATGAAGAATAACCATCCTATTTCATAGGATTATTATGAGGATAAATTGAGCATGTGAAGCATTTAGCACAGACCCTGGCGCATGGAAAGGACTAAATAAATGGTAGCCATTATTATTATATCGCACAGCCACTGAGGTGGGTGTGGAGGTCCAGGTGTTTGCTTATGTTAAGGGGGAAGAAAATCTAGGCTAAATGTATACTTTAGGCCAGTGTTTCCCAAAGTGTGGTACTCGTGCCCCCAGGGGTACGGGAAGAGTTTGGTGGGGGTACGTGTTGCACCGGAGTTTGGTGGGAATATGCACTGCACTGTGCTTAGCTGCGCCGAATTCTGCGTTCTCATGAATACGAGGGGTACTCAGCGTTACGAAAATTATAGAAGGGGTACACATATGTCAAAAGTTTGGGAAACACTGCTTTAGGCAATTTATCTAAGAAGTTAGTTGAATGTGCTATTGCATTGCATCGAGGATTTTACAGAATAATAAACTGCTAACGCTTATCTACTTGCTGCCCTGTGCAGGATGGAATTGGTGGTGGGTGTCACAAAGGAGCTGACAATGAACATTAGCCTCACTAATTCTGGGGAAGATTCCTACATGACAAATATGGCTTTGACTTACCCGAGGAACTTACAGTTTAAGAGGATACAAAAGGTAACTATGACAGCAGTTTTGGGAAACATGCCACTTATGGCTTTTCCTCCCTGCATACTCTTTTTTTTTTATGGCAACCTCCAAACTACCTCCAGCCTCATCTTGGTCCCTTCAATAAATGATTTAAATTAATGGGAGTGGCTCAGTGGTTGAGTGTCAACCTATGAACCAGGAGGTCATGGTTCGATTCCCAGTCAGGGCACATGCCCGGGTTGTGGGCCTGATCCCAGTAGAGGGCATGCAGGAGGTGGCCGATCAATGATCCTCTTTCATCACTGATGTTTCTATCTCTCTCTCCCTCTCCCTTCCTCTCTGAAATCAATAAAAATATACTTAAAAATAAATTAACTGGATGAAGCCCCTCCATCCAACTACATGCCATGGAATCCAGTCATGCCATTCTCTGTCTCACAAACCTTCGATGCTGCCATTTTGCCGCACAATCACTCCTCCCTGCCTGCAGCTTTCCCTAACCCAGGTTCTGAGAGAGAAATAATCTCTAATAAATTAGCTAGGACTAAAATGTAAAGTCTGCCCTGCCACTCATCAGCCTGGGATTGCAGACAGGAAGCCAGCTGCAAGATACTAGGAAACGGTATTGTTGCCAAGGACACCCTGCAGCTATAAAGTATCATAACATTGAGCAATTGTGTTCTCTAAAGTCTTTGGAAATCAGAAACTTTGCTGCTTGAAGTTGTATCTGTAATTATGGAACCATCTCAACCTTGCCTGGAGAATCTGTCACTTTGACAAGGAGAAGCAGTCCATATCCTTCTGAGGTACACAGCTGCACATACAGCATTTCTGGACAAAGCTGCCCACATCCATCTGAATAGTCCCCAAGGACATGGGTCCCTGGGTCCACTCTGCAGTGCAAACATGATGCTGGTGACCCTTCTACTCACAGCCCTGATTTTTAACTTATCGAAACACTGCCTCATTTGTATCTCACCTCCACACCACCCTTCCCCGGAGTCCTTCAGTGACTGTCTTTCCCTTTGGTAAGACAGCAGTGAAGTTTCCCTCTATAATGAATCAACAAACCTGGCTTTGTCAGACTATGGTCTGTCCCTGAAGGTCTTAGGCTATTCGGGCTAAGACAACATCCATTATATGGAAAGAATGAAATGACCTCCTAAGCATCCAGAATGGAACTGGTGATGCACCCTCCGTGGGAGAATTTAGAAAATAGTAGTTAAAAAAAGAAGAAAAAAAGTAGTTGCTCAAATCATTCTCTGTATTCAGTGGTCCAGATGAGGAACCAGGATTGAAAAGGGCAGCATGGTGGTGCTGGGCTCAAGCTCGCCTTCCAGTCTATCTCAGTATGTGAAATTTGCAGTGGCCTGAGGCGCAATTCAAATGTCTCCTTCCCTATAAAGACTTTTTGTCCAAGGTGAAATTCATCTTTCTCTGCTGCTGTTCTCTGTACCTCTCTCCCAGAACCACTCCTTAGGCCTTGTATTTAAATTCCTCAACCATCTACCACTGAGCTCTCCTGCCCCGCTTGTTAGTAGGAACTAGTTCCAATTGTGAGGAAGTCAGGGACCAAGTATGATTTGTGTCCTCAGCTCTGGGCAAAGTGTCTTGAATGTGGGGGGAGGGGGGGGAAGCAAATTATGCTAAATTGGTGTGAGAAAACTGCTCTTCTTCTTTTTTGCCTTTTAAGAACAGTCTTTTCTGTGTTAACAGCCTCCTTCCCCAAATATTCAGTGTGATGACCCTAAGCCAGCTGCTTCTATCCTGGTCATGAAGTGCAAGATTGGTCACCCTATACTCAGGAGGGCATCTGTGAGTGTTTTGATTGGCTGACTTGTCTTACTACCCTAGCGTTGGTAACTTCTACTTTTTAGTCTCATTGGAATCTCAGTTGTGGTCCCATGCTTCCTTTCACTGTACAGTCAATCCACAGTGTGCTTACAATTGCCAAGTCCGCTCTGAAAGTAGGGAGAGATGTGTGGGGGAATACAGCCAGACAAATTGTTGGCTCACCACAGAGTGAAACAGCAGGTAGTATGGAAGGGTCATCAGACCCAAAGTTATTAGTCCTGAGCTGAGTGCCTGATTCTTCGTGCTGTAAGAATCTCAGGAATGTGTGCTCAGTTGTAAAGAGGAATAAGAAGGTTACATGGAATAACAAATGTGGAAGCCTGCTATGATACAAAAATGTGAGCAATATAAATTATTTCTCAGGTCTGTCTTATTAGTAGGAAGTAGTTTAAATTGTGAGTGGTATAGAGAAGAATGAAGTGACTTTGTTTTCTCTCTCTTTTTTTCAAAATAGGCAAACTTTTCAGTAGTTTGGCAGCTAGAGGAGAGTGCCTTTCCAGACAGGACAGCTGACATCACGGTGACAGTCACAAAGTAAGTAGTGCCTGTGCCACAGCAGACCCAGGCTGCGCCCTGGAAGAAACCTCCCTCCCACACGCGAGAAAGGAACTTCAGTGAAGCCCAACGAAGGCACCTGTGGCCCGTGTTAGCAAATATTGTATATCTGAAAGTCTTTCATCGACACACAAAGTAGAACCATGGTATAGTCTGGTAAAATGAGCCTTGACTGGAGTTCTAATTCTGGTTCATTTAATTCTGGGGAAGCTTTTGCCTGCAAAACCTCTATGTTTGGGGGTAGGATGGGATACGGTGTTGGGAAAGGGTTCTCAAATAAGGGTGATTCTGCCCCTCAGGGGCAATACCTGAAGATATATATTTTTTAAAAATATATTTTTATTGATTTCACAGAGGAAGGAAGAGGGAGATAGAAACATCAGTGCCGAGAGACTCATTGACTGGCTGTCTCTTGCACGCCCCACACTGGGGACTGAGCCCGTAGCAACTGGGCATGTGCCCTGACCGGGAATTGAACTGTGAGGTCCTGGCTCATAGGTCGATGCTCAACCACTGAGCCATGCCGGCCAGGCTACATAAAGAAATTTAATGTACACGACTTGGGGGGCCTACTGGCATCTAGCAGGTAGAGACCAGGGATGCTGCTAAACATCTTACAATATACAGGACAGCCTCTCACAATGGATTATCTCGCCCAAAATGTTAATATTGTTGAGGTTGAGAAATCCTTCTAAACCACTATTTCTTAAATCTGGACTTCTAGCAACTCTTCTGCACTCTGCTTATTTCCAAGAGTTTTTTCTTATCTGGCCCCTGATAACCTTGGGAAGCAAAGGTATATAATAGAAGCAGCCATATGTACAAAGCAGGTGTGCTGTGCACTAACACTCTTATTTCTCAGTGCCAATGAAAGAAGCTCTCTGGTCAGAAAGACCCACAGACTTCACTTCAGGCATGCCTTCACTGCAGTGCTTCCCAAGTAAGTACCTCCAAGGGGCCAACAGCTGGGGGACAGTTTTGAGCATTCTCTCTTGTGGGTGGAGTTGGTGGGCATCCTGGGTATGGGTACTGCCTTTCGGTGAGCGGAGGCTGCTTAAAACCCAGGCTCCCATCAATCTCTAGGACACTAACAGTTGGTTCCTAGAAACGCACAGTAGTAATCAAAGTGGTAATGTCAACTGGTCTTGCTACAAAAGGGTCCTGACATGATGTTAAAAAGGGAAGGAGTGGGCTGTAGGATTGAAAAGGAAGGAAGGAAGGAGAAAAGTAAGACCACTTTGAAGAATGATATTAGATAAAGAATCAGCCCAAATATATACTATTCAAATATTCTGCCTGCTCCTAACTGCCCTACCACCAATTTATATTTTGATATTTAGCTTTGATTCCTCTTAAGGATCTGGTGCCCTCTGTCCTAGTGTACCCAACTAGTAGCATTCAGGTTCACTTAAAACAAGGGGGCCTTGAGGCCTAACACGTGTCCACTCATTTGCAGACCAGCAGTGATGTACATTAACACAAGCCAGGGGCTTTCTGACCACAAAGAATTCTCCTTCAATGTAAGTGCTTAGCATTTATTATTGCAAAGCTACAAGTGGCAAAGCAACACCAACTCTGACTTCCTACTCTTTACTCTGCAGATCCATGGGGAAAATTTCTTTGGAGCCGAATTCCAGCTGCAAGTCTGTGTTCCAATTAAATTACAAGGGCTCCGGCTTTTAAGAGTGAAGAAGCTGACAAAGACTCAGGTACTTAGAGGCGATTCTTGACTCTATCACAATTGCAACTCTTTTCAGAGTGACTACAGATTCTCAAAGATATAAAAACTAGAGTTCTAGAAAAAGAGTAAATACAAGATTAGTTAACCCAAGAACACATTAGGAGTAAATTATCCAAGTCATGTTCAGAAGGAATATCAACCACCCATCTCTTAAAGCAATATTTACTTCCCTTGATAACAAATAAGCAAAAACTCACAACTTTTTTAGTAGCCATGGAGACATTTATTTTCCTGTTGAAAATTGTTAAATTCTACTTCTCTGTGACTGGTAAATGAGCTTGATAAATATATGGCGTTTCTTGCATGTCTCCCTATAAACTGTCTACCATCTTCCTTTTCTCTCTCCCTCCATTCTGTCTTGGTCTCTGCTTTGCTACAGCCCCTATGCTCTCGGCTGACTCCTGAGCTGTAGCATGGTTCCCAAAGCCAGCCTGCCAATACCTATAGGCTCTGATGAGTAGGACAGCTGAGACCTTGGGCTGAATTTTTTTTTTCCTGAAAATTTCCCCCCTTAGGCTACATAAAGTGTCAAGGCTCAAAATGAAAATATGGAAACTTACAGAATAGACTCTGCTGACAGAAAGAGGGCTTAAAAGTTATAAACACTTGTCCTCGTGTGTAGTTCATTTTAAAGAATGTTTGTCGTCTAAAGATTTCCACAAACATTTCAGTTTCCACTTGGAAACAACTCTTGTTTGAAAAGCTGATTAGAAGAGGAATTTCAGCCTTCCCTGGGGATAGAGATGGAAAACAACACTTTCCAGGCTACTGGCCTCTCCCGCTTTGGGGCGGTCAGGCGCCTGTGACTTACTTAAACAGACTGTGTTGGCAGAGCAGGTCGGTGGCAGAGCTGAAGTTCAGCATTGTCTGATGGAAATGTTCGATGTTTTTCTTTATTTGCTTCAAGGCAGTGGTGTTACATTTCTTCTTGAAGACCATTTCCTTCAGAATCTTATCTGTGAGGTAATGCAGCCAGAGCACATTGCTGTAAGGGTGGTATTCACCCCAGCAGTTGTTGTTCTCCCTCTTCATGAGCCTGTAGATCTCAAACTGGTAGTCACCTTCACCTGTAAAAAGGCCCTCATCCATGGAAATGTCACAGAAAACCACCACCCCATCCCGCTCCAAGCGTGACAGGGTGTAGTCAATGATGTTGACTTGCAGCCCACAGGTGGGGATAGCGCCCGTCTTCCCGCTGAGGGTGTAGTGGACTTCCTTGAGGCTGGTTTTCTTTAAGAGCACGTTCCCCCAGTGTAAGTCTCGGTGCTCAAAGTGCAGCGATGCCTCTGCAACGGCAAGGGATGCGGTGATCTGGTGCAGAATGCTCTTCGCAGTAGCTATGGAGGACAGCGTCTTTTTCCTTTGCTCTAAGTCAATTCCTCCAAATTCAAATTCAAGTATAATGAAGAGCTGGTCTCGGCCGAAAAAGTCAGGCCGGTCATTTGCAGACCCTTTGGTTGAGTGATAGTGATCCCAGGCTCTGAGGAGCAAGGGCGGGTAAGGCCCACGCACACAGTGCACCGAGTTCAGCCCAATAAAGCCTTCCGTGCGGTGGCACACAGCATCAGACAGGAGGCTCAACTCTTTGGAGATGATGATCTCTGGAAGGATTTCCTCAAAAGTTTTCTGCTGGGCTCCATTGACTAAATCCGGCCCTTCAATGGCGATGATTTTTAGGGCTACTGGTGCACAATCATCAACTGTTTGGAACACTTCCCCAAACACTCCTTCCCCGATCTTCTCGCAGCATTCCAGTCTTTCCGTGGAAAGGCAAGAGCTAAAGGGGATAGGACCCTCCTGGTTGCATTCCCTATAAACCTTTTCGGCATCAGATGCCTTTTGGTCTGCGACACGTGGCGTCTTTAAGGGGGTTAGCAAATACATGGAAGAGGAGTGCCAAGGGGATGGAGCACTGCTTGTCTTGTTCAGGACGGGAGAGTTTGGATATTCCGATATGAAGGACCCCGAGGGAGAGCTGGTGGTGGCGCTGTTGCACACGTCTGACACCGCAGTCACGATCTTCTTCTTGTGGAAACTGAAGGAAGCCCTGGCTTTGGTCCAAGAGCAGTCATTCTGTAACTGAGTCAGATCCTGGGCAAGGAATGAATCTTTTCCCATCCTCTGGCCCTTTTTAAACGGGTTGTAAGGGAGGAGAGAGGTTTCTACTGCCTCCTGGTGTTTCCTTTTCTGGCTCGGCCCAGTTCTCTCAGGCCTGTAGGTTTTCCCAGGTCTTTTACGGAGCTTGCAACCACTGGCCTCATATTCTGTCTGGACAGCCCCTGGAGCCCCAGTCTCTTGACAAGAGACCTTGTCTGTGACCCTCTTCTTTCGCATCCTTGATAAACCTGGGTTCTCCAGCCTTTTCCCCATCAGTTCCCTTTCACAGTAGGACTCCCTCCTATCCTTCGCACCTGTCCCAAACTCAGAATCCTCCGGGTTTCCCGAGTCCATAAGGCTAAAGAGAGCTGGCGTGAGGCTTGAACGAGCTTGGCGGGCCAATCTGGTGAGCCTGCCTCGGCCTGTTGCTGCCTCTTGGGAGCAGGAACCAGGTGCCTGGTCCAGAGAGGTGGCATCCAGAGAGACAGAGGGGCCGGTACCTATGACACTGTCTCCGGGCGCTGGGGACCCAGGGCCGGGGCCCGGAGAAGCTGGGGGACTAAACAAGGAGGCACTGGTGCCCAGCTGGCCGCCGTCGCTGGGCTGGCTGCACACACTGAGGTCCGGGCTGAGGCGGCCCGGGCTGCCGCCGGGGAAGGGCGGCGGCGGGCCGAGCGGGCTGCAGGGGGTGCTGCACTTCCGCGGCGGCCGCGCTCGCAGCCTCAGGCGCCTTGGAGTCATGGTCAGGCTCGGCCGGGCCTTGGAGACTCGCCCGCCGGGTCGCCTCCGCCGCCGACCCACCTCGCAGCAGAAGTCGGGGTCATCGGAATCTTCGGAGGCGACGGACGGCGAGGGGTCGTCGCTGCTGGCGTTGCTGCTACTGGTGCTGCTGAAGAAACGCTTTGAGTCTTGAGGCGCGAACCACTGCGCGCCCGCCCGGGCCGCCCGGCCCCGAGGTCCCCGGCCGCCCACAGGCCCGTACGTTCGTAAGAGCCGGTTCCGGGGTCGCGGGGCTAGCTCCGCCATGGCTCTCACCCGCCAAACTGTTCAAATGCAAGCATCGCGAGACTTCTGGAGGACGCTGACGGGAACGCAGACACGCCCACCGGCCGGCCGGCACGTCGGGTCCTAGCGCCCCCCTCTCCTGCGCGCATGCGTATCTCCAGGGGCTCGCGGGTTTGGGCACAGGGTGCTGGACGGCGGCGTCCTCATCCGGCGCGGGGATGGCTCTCGTTTCAGGCTCACACCGTGTGCACCCAGCGTCTGGAGCGCGCTTGTGGGAGCCAGGCGGTCCAGGTGAGCGCGGCGGTCCCACCGGCTAAGCCTAGGGAAGGAGGAGGGTCTGGAGCGGGTGACCAGAAGGGCCCGGATACAGCTTTCCCGAAGTTTCCCCCGAAAGTCCGTGCAGGGCGGCCCCAGCGCCCTCCTTAGTCTCTTCACCGGGTCTTGTGGGCCAAGGTTGCGGCAAGGTTTCCGCTAAGGTGAGCGAGGAAACTGCTCACATCTGTTCTGGGATCTCTTTTTTTTTTTTTTTTTTAATAACATTTTATTGACTTTTTTACATTGAGGAAGGGAAAGAGATAGTTAGAAACATCGATGAGAGAGAAACATCGACCAGCTGCCTCCTGCAGCTGTGCCCGCAACGAAGGTACATACCCCTGACCGGGATCCAACCTCGGACCCTTCAGTCCGCAGGCTGATGCTCTATCCACTGAGCCAAACCGGTTTCGGCTGTTCTGGGATCCTAAGGTGTCCTGTGTGCTGAGAGGTACAGCAGCAGCCTTTCCGCACGCAGGGGGACGGTGCTAACTAGACTTCCCTATCCCAGCCCGTGGAGGAGTGGCATTCGGTGAGCTGTGCCATCACTTCGGACAGAGAAAACGTCACGGTGGCAGCGGAGCTCTCCATGAGTCAGGCCAAGCAGGTACTTGAGACTGCGAAATGCTCCGGATTTGATTCTCCTGCAGCTCACAGGCATAGAAAGGTTCACAGCTGGATACGGGCATCTCACATATCACATGTCTCCTGGCCCACCGTCTGCCCCAACCTGTTCCTGACCCAGTTCCTCGGGGTAACTCACCACTCCAGCTACTTTCTAGGAATTTCCCGGGACTCCTCCCTTCCTTACTTGCGCATATCAATTCCCACGGCAAACTCTTATTCCCCCCTCCAAAATATGTTCTAAATCCATTCCCTTCTCTGCTTGGCCAGTGCTACTCTGTCGATCAGGCTGCCCCCTTTTGCCCACACTGTTGTCACAACCTTCTGTCTGCTCGTCCTCCTCCTCCTCCTCTTCTTCTTCTTCTTTAATATATTTTATTGATTTTTTACAGAGAGGAAGAGAGAGGGATAGGGAGTTAGAAACATCGATGAGAGAGAATCATGGATCAGCTGCCTCTTGCACACCCCCTACTGGGGATGTGCCGACAACGGAGGTACATGCCCTTGACCAGAATCGAACCTGGGACCTTTCAGGGACCTTTCAGTCCGCAGGCCGATGCTCTATCCACTGAGCCAAACTGGTTTCGGCTGTCTGCTCTTCTTCTCTCTGCTCTTGCCATGCCGTCTCCGAACTTTCCTCACACAGCTACCTTTTATTTTATTTTTAAAAATTTTTTGTTAATCCCCACCCTAGGATATTTTTTTAAATTTATTTTTAGAGAGAGTGGGAGAGAGAGGGACAGAAGTATCGATGTGAGAGAAACACATTGATTAGTTACCTCCTGCATGCACCCTGACCAGGGCCTTGGCCAGGGAGGAGCCTGCCACCGAGGTACGTGCCCTTGACCAGAATCGAAACCAGGACCCTTGGGTCCACAAGCCGACGCTCTATCCACTGAGCCAAACTGGCTAGGGCAACAGCTACCTTTTAGAAACAAGCATTATGCTTTTTAATACATTTATCCTAAAACTCATAGCTTTTCAGTAATCTGCAAGGCCCTGCATGATCTGGTCTCTGATCTCTTCTTCGACTTCATCTCCTGGTACTCTCCTCGGCCCAACTTCTTACACTCCAGCTGTTCTGTCCTTTCTGTTCCTCCATGTTGTTCTGGCCACAGGCCTTTGTACTTGCCGTTCCTTCTCCATGACAGTGTTCTTCACCCAGGTCTTCATGTGTGTGCTTTCTTACATTTAGCTCACATGTAACCTTCTTGGAGAGACCTTCTTTGATTACTCATTCAAAAGTGGGAACTACAGCCCAGTTTAATGTCATGCAGTGATCCGGATGACTGATGAGATCTGAACTGAAGAACTAGCTATGGGAATGGAGGAAAAGGGACAGGTGTAAGAGAGGCTCAAAAAAGAAAAATGGCCCTGACCAGTGTGGCTCATAGAGCATAGTGCATAGAGCATCGGCACTACCAAAGGGTGGCAGGTTCGATTCCTGGTCAAGAGCACGTACCTGGGTTGCAGGTTCAATCCTGAGTCCCAGTTTCTCGCACATTAATGTTTCTCTCCTCCCCCTTTCTCCCCTTGTTTCCCTCTCCTACCTCCTTCACTCCCTTCCCCTCTCTAAAAACCAATGGGAAAAATACCTTCAGGTGAAGATTAACCAAACGAAAGGAAAAATGGTTAAGAAAACTGACTGGGGGAGAGGGGGTGAGGGTGTGACATGAGGTAGAGGGAAAAGTTGAGAATAACCACAGGTTTTTTGCTTGGGTAACTTGGTGGTTGCTGAGCTCCTTAACTAAGCTAAGGAATTCATAGGATGGAACGCATATAAAGGAAGGATGGTGAATGCAGTACAGAAACAGTAAGTCCACGACTAAAACATGTTTCCTCCCCCCTCTCCCCTTATAGTTCCTAAGAGATGTAGCTGAACTGCAGATCCTCGGTGAAATTTCTTTCAACAAATCTCTGTATGAGGGTCTGAATGCAGAGAACCACAGAACTAAGGTAATCCCTGTCCCCGGGGTGGTATCCGAGAGCTGTGCTCAGCCTTAGGGCCCCTGAACGGCACGCTGCTGTGACCCTGTTCCTGTTTCATCCTTACACTTCTGATCTTGACTCTGCCACCATCTGCCTCTGTGACCTTGAGCTAGTCAGCTTCTGCCTCAATTTTTCCATCTGTGAAATGAGGCAATTAAATGAGAGGTGTAAGCTGAGGAAGTCTAAACTGAAATAGCTAAGCTGGAACCAAAAGCTACATATGCTTTGATTTGAAAGGTATTTAAATTTTTTTCCCAGAAGTGAGAAATTATTGTTTTTATGCATGAACTCTCTAGTGCACATGTGTCAAACACAAGGCCCGCGGGCCATATCTGGGCCGCCAGGCCTTGCAATGTGGCCCGCACCGCGCTGTCATCACTGCACTCTGCTGCGTTTCCATCACAATGACAGTTTATGACTGTTCAGTAAACCATTTGGCCCGCGATTTAGGCTGGATTTTAGATTTTGGCCCCTTCTCTGATTGAGTTCGACACCCCTACTCTAGTGTGTAGTATCAGAGTTTAATTATAATATTAACCAATTACAACACTCAGAGTGCATACTTCTTTGACAAGTCTTAGACTAAACACTGGAACCCCTGGGGTTGGTATTGCTGAAGTGTGACCACAGGTCTAACGGATGTCTGTGACCTATGGGCCAGATGCTGTGTGTGCTTCCCTGAGTTGTCATTCTTGTTGACACTCACCTAGATGTGCTGCTGGCTTTTGAGATGCTCCATCTGTGAGCTCTTTAGTTAGGCATGATTCACTATTAGGAGGAATGTTAAGAGAGTGAGACTGGAATGCTAAATACTGGATCCTCTGATTTTCTTTCTGGAGGAGGAGGAAAAAAGAACAGTTCTCTAGACTGTCAGCAATAACATTTCTCTTTATTTTTAGGCATTTCTAATAGGGAAAATGATACGGAAGAAAGAGAAGTGCCCCATTATCCCACTGTCCAGATTTTTAGAAAATCCAGTAATGTTAGAAGAAGATCCAAGCCTTATGGAAGGATACCAAATGAAAAATGATGGTTCCTTTACTTCCCCTCTTCCCAACCCCAACTTCCTTTTCCCAAAAGGAGTTTATGTTAACAGTTTCTGATATGCACATTCTTAAATTTATTTAGGTACTTCCTCCTCTTATTGACATTTTTATTCTACAGTATAGATTCCTTATAATTATTTTCTTTAAATTTGACACCCTAAGCAAAGTATTAAATAGTTCCTGACAATAAGCACCTGACTTACGATGAATCTATGAGTATAAATAGCAGTATATCCAAGTGCATATCAGCTGTGAGTAAGGGAAGACTCCCACTTATGTACCATAAAAGGATCTGCTGTTTATCCAGTAAGGGAGGCAAACCAGGGTCAGTGTCTCATTGGCAAAGGGGGCAACCAGGCTTTGCTTGATTAGTTTGGGCTGATCATAGTTTCTGAACAGAATCTAAAAGGAGATATTGAATAGCCCTAACCGATTTGGCTCAGTGGATAGAGCATTGGCCTGCATACTAAAGGGTCCTAGATTCGATTTTGGTCAAGGGCATGTACCTTGGTTGTGGGCACATTCCCAGTGGGAGGTTTGCAGGAGGCACCTCATTGATGTTTCTCTCTCATTGATGTTTCTAGCTCTCTATCCCTCTCCCTTCCTCTCTGTAAAAAAAAATAAATAAATAAATAAATAAATAATCAATAAAATACTTTAAATGAAATAAAAGGAGAAGATAGCTGAGGATGGTGCCCCCACCGATATATGCTACAAGCAGTGGTGTCCTGCTTCTCCCTTCACCTCTACCCACAGCCCTGGGGCACCTTGGAAACCTGTGGGCTTGGGAGAGAGGAAAGGGAAGAGACTTTGAGAAATAGGAGTGTTACTTCTACTCAGTTCTGGTCTGGTAAACACTGTCACCTTGGGGCTTTTATCACTTTCCTTGCCCCCTCCCCTCCTCCCCCTGCTTCCATAGGAGAAAAACAGGCTGCCTTCCTGTTCTTCCTCTCTGTTGCTTTGCTCTTTCCTAGCTGTCGATGCTAGGATTAGAACCTAACCTTTTAAGGTCAGCTACGTAAATAGTGCCTGGAGGGTCAACTTAGGGAGTAACCACCATCTGTAGCTTAATTAGAAGAGGCCTCAAAGATAAATTTGTCCAGCCTTCTACCCCATAAGAATTTCTCTCTCAAGCATTGCTGACCTTGGTGCTTAAATATTTCTATGAAAGGAGCTCATTGTTTTGGGCAGGCAGAGGGTTTTTTTGTGTGTGTGTGTGTGTGTTTTTCTTTCTTCTTTCCTGTTTTGTTTTATATGTTTTTTTAAAAAAATGATTTTATAGGGAAAAAGAGAGAGAAGCATCAATCTGGTGCCCTTACCAAGAGTGGAACCCACAACCTTTCAGTGCATGGAATGTTGCTCCAAACAACTGAGCCACCTGGCTGGGAGGTTTGGATGGCCCTTGGGCCCCACTGAAGTCCTGGCACCATGCTCTGTGTGTGTGCTGGCCAACTCGGGACGTCCATATCTGGGTCTCACTTGGGAAGCACATCCCCTAAGCTCCCAGCTGGTCCTGTTGGTGAAAGGACAGCTTAC